TCCTTTCTTTCTTTCTTTCTTTCTTTATTTTTTTTTTTTTGAGCATTGGAGAGGAACAGATTCGTTCCAAAGAGCTGCATCTCCAAAAATTTGCATTCTGTACCTTCGTACAGGCACCCTCCCTCCTTCCCTCTCTCTTTAAAAATCCACCCGGGATCTCTCGTTTACCTTTTCATTTCTTTCCATTTGTCTCCCATGGAAAAAAAAGTACCATCCTTTTCTGGATTCTCTGCCCGAAGGAATTTGCAAGTGAACACCTGAGTGTCCGGGGTTTAAAAGATATCCTTTTCCCGAACAACTTTTAAAAATTGTTTTTCTTTCCAGCACCAATCTCTCCAATCGATTGCAGGTTTCTGGCTTATCTGGCTATCCTGGATAAAGGCGTGGTTGTAGGAGAGCTGTTATGAGTTTAGGATGCCATTTTATATGCAAACGGGGGGCCTCCTTCGTTCTCTCCATCCATGGACGTTTTTCCCAGCCCTTCACAGCAAAAAAAGCAGCCAACTGCTTTGGAAATTTGCATCCAGCTGGGCAAATGTGTGACTCTGATTGTATATAGGCCTTGATTGTCCTGGCTTCTCAATTTTTTAAAGAACAGAAATATTGGGGAAATATAATGCCTCCAAATGGAACCGTGCTAATTTATTTACAAAGTATTTTTAGTTCTTTTTTTATTGTGAGTCTAGGTTTTTATACAATAAAAACGATGTTATATTTTTCACGAATTCAAGCACATTTCTTTGATGGTGTTGTCATGTTTGAGGCAGGGGAGCAGCCTTTCTCGACCTCCGCCCTTTTAAGAGGTCTGGACTTCAACTCCCAGAATTCATGGGTGGCTGGGGAATTTTGGGAGTTGAAGTCCAAAAGTCTTACAGGGGCCAAACTCAAGAAACACGGCGGTAAACATTTACCTAATGCTTGACACTTTCTTCAGGAGCGGGTAAAATTTGAGAAGGGAAGGCACCGAGGCTGAGGGAATACCCAGGTTCTGTTGAGAGCAGTAGTGGCTAACCTTTTTGGGCTCGTGTGCTAAAAATTGTGCATGTACTCGTGTACCAGCACCCAGAATGCAAGCACGCACCCCTCCCCACGCCCCCTGCGCATGCGCACACAATCTCCCCCCCCCCCACACACACACACACACACTGCACCTCACAGCTGATTTTTCGGCTGGTTTGAGGCCTTTTTCAGCCTCCAAGAGGCTTTTCAGGACGAATAATAGGCCCATTTCATCACTTCCGGTATTACAGGAAGTGATGAAATGGGCCTACTATTCGTCCTGCAAAGCCTTGCAGAGGCTTTTTCCAAGCCTCTGGGAGGCCGAATAAGGCCTCAAACCAGCCGAAAAATCAGCTGTGAGGTAAGTTTGCCTGTGGCATGCGTGCCATAGGTTCGCCATCAGAGGTCTTGGGGTAGTCCTCAACTTATGACCAGTTGATTATCAACAATTCAAAGTTATGACGGACCTCAACCAGGCGAAAAAGGTTCATAAACTAGCATTCATGGATGGTTCCCCTCAAAAAATGCCCCACTGCAAACACTGGGTTTGGTTAACAACCATTGCAGATAAAGGTCGCAAAATCGGCGTTCAATTAACAAACATTGCAAACCAGGTCATAAAATCGGCGTTCACTTTTAACAACCATTGCAAAAAAAGATCACCAGCATAACCTAACCTACAACCAGAACACCGGGCTCAATTGCAGTCATGTCGGACTAATCTACATTACCATCCTACAGCTTAAAAATTAGGCGGTATGATAAATATTAAAATGAGAGCAAAGCAGGACCAGCCCAGCTGGTCCGTTCCTGCAAGGGGGTTAAAAATTGCAAAGGCAAATTGTTGAAAATTTGAAATTGAGAACGCAAAAACCAACAACTTTCTACTCTTGATTCTCATCACCCCCCAGCGGTGAAACATACGAATTGGGGATCGTGGGGAATGAGTACTGTGGAGGAAAGCAACGAGGCTGGTTTCTTACAGATAAAATATTTCCTTGTTTTAACTCGTTCTCCATATCCCCCACCCCCCCAAAAAAAAGATACACGGTTCAATTATTATCATTCTATTCTCTCAGAAATCCTGATTTTTTTTCCTCCAACCCATCATGCATTTCCTGTAACAGGTGCCAATAATCCAGTGGTGGAATTCAGCCGGTTTCCACCGGTTTCGGGGAACCGGTTGTTAACTTTCTGAGCAGTTTGTTGAACTGGTTGTTGGAAGAAACCATGACGGCAGAGATAACAGATAATAACAGATAGTCAGGGTTGGAAAGGACCTTGTAGGTCATCTAGTCCAACCCCGCACCCAAGCAGGAGAGGACCAGTTGTTAAATGAATTGAATCCCACCACTGCAAATAATCTGAATTATTTCTGGCTCATTCACTCCCAGGTAAGATATACGATTGTTCCCGTTGAAGTCCCTTCGCGATGCTATCTTCTAACAGTATTTTTAATATTCTTGCCGTACAATCCAGCTGGTTGTGGGAACATTCTTTGGTTACTAGAGACACCCAAATAAGTGATGCATGTTTTCCTGAACTGTTTGTCCCAGAAACTTGAGAAGACCCTGGAATTTTCTCCTCCCAAGCAGAAAACTTTTTAAAAAAATTTCTTGTGACGTCTGCAACGACAGTGTTAGAGGTCACACCGTTTCCTGGCCTTGGGTGCCGTTACAACTGTAAATTGTAAGCACAATCTATTCCAAGAAACATCCCTCAGTAACTATGCAGAGAAGCGGCTGGCTCTTCTTCCGCAGAAGCTGGGCTGGGGACGCTTCAGTGTGGATTCCTTTAGTAAGCAAGGGGGTGGGCCAGATGACCTCAGGGATGCCTTCCAGACGGGCAACTCTAGCTCTGAAGGCCTTGCCCATTTGTGGATTTGCAGCAGATCAACCCATACAGGTAGTCCTCGACTTACAAGCAGGGTTCGGTCCTGTTGTTAAAGCAAGACAGTTGTTAAGTAAGTTTTGTCCCATTTTACGACTTGTCATGCCGCAATTGTGAATCACGAAGGCTGTTTAAAGTCAATGAAACGGTTATTAAGTGAATCTGGCTTTCCTGGTAAAAGCAGATTTGCTTAACGCCGGCATGATGCACTTAACAACTGCTGTGATTCGCTTAACCATGGCAAAAAGATTGCATGACTCACTTAACAACCAACTTGCTTAGCAAAAGGAAATTCTGGCCGCTTAAAACAGGTGTCTCGCTTAGCAACAGAAATCCTGAACTCAATTGTGGTCGTAAGTCGAGGACTCACCTGTACTGAATTCTCTCATTTTTCTAGATTGGCAGAGTCCCCAAAACAAATCTCCATCTCTTGCTAAACTGAGCTAAATATCTTCCCCAAATTAACACTGACTGTTTGCACAGAACTGGGTTAAACTGGTTGTAAGAATGCAGCCACCATACGCTACAGAAATGTGCAGCTTGGATTTTTGTAGAAAGAATCCAGGTAGTCCTTGACTTACGACCACAAAATGGAGCCCAAAATTTCCCTTGCTAAGCGAGACGGTTGCTAAAGTGACTTTTGCCCCATTTTATGACCTTTCTGTGCTGTAGCCATTAAGTGAATCACTAGAGTTGTTAAGTCAGCAACCTGGTTATGAAGCGAATCTGGCTTGTCAGAAGGCTGCAAAAGGGGATCTCGTGACCCCGGGAAAAACTGCAACCGTCATAAATAGGAACCAGTTGCCAAGTCTCTGAATTTTGATCAGGTCACCCTGGAGATGCTGCAACAGTCATAAGTGGGGAAAACAATCCCAAGTCCCTTTTGCTTCAGTGCCATTGTAACTTCAAACAGTCACTCTACGAATGGTTGTAAATCAAGGACCTCATATACTGTATTTCCCCAAAAATAAGACCCTGTCTTTATATATATAGAAATCTTTATATAGAAGCACAGAGCTGAAGACACAAGCCTGAAGATGATGAATGAGACTTCATCGAAACGTTGCCTAGATACTTCCAATCTTACGCGGGAGAAAACCCGAATAACCAAAGAT